TATGAAACGAATAAAATAAGATTTACAATTTTTTTATTTGTCGCGATAAATTCCGGATATTTATGTCGCGGACTGTAATTATTAATCATCACTAATATTGTAGCTGATTTTCACATAATTCTTTATCACATTTCCGGTCAAGTATTTTTGTCATACATAATCATGTACAGTATATTTAGATCGGGTCAAGAAAGTAACACGACGAGGGTCAAGAAGGTAAATTTTGCGACAACGGGATACCTCGTATAACCTTAGACCTGTACATATATAGTCATTCACTTCGTTCCGGACTAACAAGGAAGAATTTCATTAAACCATTCTTGAAATAAATTTTCAAAAGCACGATTCGATTTTTTGACATTTTGATTGCTTATATCCGAATTTTTGCAAACATATAAAGGCTGGTGTAACTGTAATAATTTGGGCAAACAAACAATATACTTGTAATAAAAAACGTAATAACCTGTTTTGTTACACAAATAATTTAAAAATTCCTTTTTTTCTGGAATGGTAAAAGGTGTTTGTAACAAATGTGATGATACTAATAGTGATTTTAACTGGTGTACATGTTGTGATTGTGCGCAACTTATTAAAAATTTTTAAAAATTTTGAAAATTGGACAAATGAAAACAATGAATTAGACGAATTTATTCGATACACACAATCTACGGCAAAATCTTATGTGTCTTATTTAGAATGGGATTCCTTACCAAAGTCTTGAAAATATAAAACAAATTGGATCTGGATGTTTAAGTACAGTTTATTCGGCAGTTTGGAAAGAAGGAGAAAGAATTGGGATGATGAAAACAAACAACATAAACGAAGCCAACCAATTCCAGTTGCTTTTAAAACGCCACATAAAGATGGATTTGAGACAACAATGAATATAGTAAGTAAATTTAAAGATTTCCTAAATTGAATTAGATTAAATATTAAATGGTTCTTAGGTTTTTCTTTTTAATATCAGTTAACGTGCTATCGTAAATATATGAGTGATAATAAAGCATTTTATTAGAAATTATGGATTGTAATGCAATATGCAAGTCAAGTGATAGAGGGCTTGAAAAAGAAACATGATTGGCAATAGAAATAAAATATTTTTCGTTATATTTACAGACCATAACGATTTACATATTGGTAATGTCTTTTATACATGATAATCGGTCAATTATATTGGGCAAGTTCAAAAGATTAATTTCTGGAATTTCAAAAGTTCCCGAAACTTTTCAAAAATTAATTGATAGTTGTTTGAATAAAGATTTTAATGATCGTACTGATACTTTATATTTTAATAGATGGTGTGAAAATCCTCAATATGCGCATTTTAAAATAAAAAGGGAGGAATAAAATAAAAATTACTTTAAATCTTTTTGATGTAACAATGGTGTTTACGCCGATCATTTTGTTAAAGAAATTACTATGTCATGAATCAAACATTATTTGGTACGGATCGACAATTAGTTTGTGTGACGCTGCCATACATTTATATGTCATTGCTCGGATCAAATTATTAAAAATTTCTCCCTTTCAAAAACCCATTTCTTAATCATCCGAACAAGTCACAATGTGGAAAATCCGGAATAAAACCATGTTCCAACATACGCCTGTTCTTGCAACGGAAACTCTAATACAAATTTTCAAAGATTTAGATATTTATAGCTTACGTTCTTGTGCACTTGTCAATCGATATTGGTGTCAGATTGCGATTCCAATGTTATGGGTAGAGCCATTTGAAAACATATATGAAGAAACTTTTCCTTCACCAGGAGGAAATTATCATAAAGAGGTTTATGTATCGGAATCCATCAAAAATTTATCTTCTCTAACTGACACTTATATTAATTGTTTGTCAGAAGGATCCAAAGTCAAATTAACGAATGCTGGAATTGTAGGATTTTATAAAACAAAACATCCGAGTTATGATTATCCCGCTTTCTTGAAAAATTTGGACATCATTTGTTTATTCTTGGGATGTCGCGCATGGTTAAGCGTGAGATTTAAATTTAAACTTGTAACTTCAGTTGAGCGTAGTTTACTTTTGTATCAAATCAGGTTAATTTTCTTTGAATTGTGTAAACTTTTCATGAGTCGATGTGAAGATGTCAAGAAATTATATTTGATAAATAAGAAATTCTCAAAGGAATTGGAATGTGCGGAAAAATGTAATGAAAATTGTTTAAAATTTTGTTTGATTAACAATGTCATCAATCCAATCATCAATCATTTACCGGATTTACCTGGCGCATCAAAATGTTTAGCTAATCTAGAATGCTTGGGAACAAATTGTAATACACCTACAGAATTTATTCAAAAGATTTCGTTTTTCTGTAAGGAAATAAAAAATTTGATCTTTACTCCCGGATTTAGATTATCAATCCTTTCCTCACAAAATTGTTTAAAGTATTTAATCCTTCAGGGACAATTTTACAATTATTATCCTGGAATAAAAGATATCTTTGAAAGAGCTTTTAAAAATCTTGAATGGCTTACAATTAATGGAAGAGACGCGTTACCGATTAAAAATGTTGATTCCTTTGAGAACCTTGTTAGTTTGGAAGTTGTCAATAAAGATCAAAGTTATAATCAAAGTTATAATGCTTTTAGGACTTTAGCAGACATGAACTTTCCAAAATTACAATACCTTTACGTTGACATCGGATCATCATGTTTCTCATATTTTTACCTTTTATCGATAATCATTTCAAAAACAACGAATTTACGAAAACTTGATTTACATTGGGGTCATCAAGATGTTAGCAATTTTGCAACTTTAACGTTAAGCATCGCAAATCATTGTCCAAATCTTATCATCTTGAAAATGTATTGGGTTAATGAATATAGAGAATCCATTAATGATTTATTAAGAATTTTTAAATATTGTGATAAATTAGAATATTTGGGAATCCTCAATAATGGAATATTTGACGAAGATTCTTATTTACCATTGTTAGGAGATCATTTGCCACCAAACTTAAGGGTGTTAAAACATTGTTGTGTACCCGTTGATTATCCCGCCGAACCGCTTGAATCGTTCTTTAAGAATGCGTCAAGGAGGCTGAACGTTCCATTGATGATCGATTTAAATTCTTTTATAACTCATGAGCATTCAAAGATCGCACAAGAATATTTCTTGAATGGGTTAATTAATCCCTCTTTTACAAAATTTGATTATGAGAGAAGGCTTGAATATTATTCGTGCAACATGAGGTATTTACAGTAGATGATTATCCTTTTTGTGAATTTGATTTATTTATTCATCCTTAATAATTTTTAAAAATATTCTAGGTATATTTAAGAAAAATTGTTTAGAATGTGCATATTATTTGGGTTAGATATTATAAGGAATTAATTGTAAAATGTAATTAAAATAATCATCTGATGATTTTAAGTATTTCATGTAACATCTTAAGTTCATAATATTGACGTTAACATCGCAAAACTTGTAACTATTTATAATTTATTTAATTAAGCAACTATAAGTTTTGTAAACGTGTTTGCTTAGCAGGGTTGTTTGATTAGGATTCACTGATATAATGATCAAATCTTTTGTTAGATGTAATAAAGTTCATTTGTTTCTTAGAACGTCAAACAAAGTTAATGAATAACTGATTCAAGGAATGTTGTAATCCATCTATTGGATCATGATTCCATCGTTCAGATTTTTGATCCTTTTTTAAAAGGAAACCGCTAGTTAACTTATACAGATGACATGGCCGAGTGGTTAAGGCGTCAGACTTGAAATCTGATTCCCTTGTGGAGCGCAGGTTCAAATCCTGCTGTCGTCGAACGACAAGCATCAAAATTTTATTTATTTTGTAACTTTAGTATCAATGATACGATGCGATCAATATTCAAAATGATCGAAACCTCGAAATGATTAATCTAATAAATTTCATCATCAAAATAAAGATTGATATTTTTAAATGATAGTTATATATTTTTGATCATTATCTAATGATGATAACTTGACTGGCTAACTTTATCAATTATTTTTTTAATAATTTGAGCAGGTTCGAAAGAAGATTTAAATGAATATATATTTATTGATGGATTGGATGCACTTGAACCTATTAAGATCAGACTGCATGCACATCTGAAATCCATAATTGTCCAATGGGACGGTTCATCCCAGATACAATATCAGTACTTCTGATAATGGGTGATTTTTAAGACAATAAAAGTTTCAACTTCTTTAGCTAACATTTAAATTGAAGTCAACTTCAACCCATAAATTAGGGCGAGTGAAATCTTTCTCTGTGTTGAAATTTTAGGAGTTGATATTGTTTGCAGAATAATAATATATCATGAGTCTTGTAACTTGTATAATGAATCACCAATCCCTGAACGGTTACGTTAATATTCTAAAACTTAGAAACGTGTAAAGAAAACCTATTATTGGTCAATAGAACGTGTTTACGACGATCTCCCGACACCCAGAATCCCGACTTCAAAATCACGACATACTAAAATCCCGAATGGACATAATCCCGACTGTCAAAATCCCGAAACCTAACCCTAACCCCATTCTAACCCTAATTCAACAAAATAAAAAAATATAACCTAATTCTAACCTTAATATTGATCCTAATCCTGACCTAATCCTTTTAGTATATTTCAATAATTGCATTTAAAATGTACCGGTACTGCGCCACGGTCTTTTTTTTAAAAAATATAGGTCGGGATTAAAGACCATCGGGATTATGGACTATCGGGATTTTAGTATGTCGGGATTTTGGAGTCGGGATTCTGGACTGTCGGGATTCCGGGTGTCGGGAAATTTGTAGGAACATGAGCCATTTCGGAAAAAGTAAACTAAATAGTTAATATACCAAATATTTTCTTTTGCAGCACCAACTCATTTTATGCCCTAAACTTCTATTGCAATTGCAAAAATAAAACTACATGTATAAATAATGTTATTCTTATTTGCGAAAATGTAAACAAAAAATTTTATTTTTCTATTAAAAATATCGCATGCACACAGAGGCTACTAATCTTGATTTACTCTATTTGTGCTAGAGAGGAAACTCTAAATGTTCTCTGTAAAGCTAATGGAGAACATAATGGAAGAAATATTCACGTCATTAATTAATTTGTAAGGTATTCGTATCTCGGCGTCTGATTCTTATCGCCAGACTTGGAAGTTCTATAACTATTATTCATTATTATCTTAGAGATTTTGTATATTTATAAAACCTCCAGAAGTATCACAGTTTTAATTGCGATTGAAATGGGATTACTTCGTTATCTTTGGGCATAAATCGCCATTAAGGTTAATTATGTATTAGGCGTTCCTCAAACTAAAATTCCTTCTTTTACTTTTTACTTTATATAATGAGCAGAAAGATCAATACTTGTTTAGAATATCTAAATTTTAAGTTTAGTACATTATCCTTGGAACTATTTCATCAATTACAGCCAACCCCTTGTCGGTAGGTCTCAACCCACCATCCTGCACTTCTTCTCTAAAATCATTCAACATCCATTCATTATTATCATATCTAACGGGCCTATTCTCCCAAATTAGGAAGCCGTCTTTAATAAATGAATTTATTTGTTCCATATTTAAATACTATTATTTATTTATTTTTTTTTAAAAAAAAAAAACTTTAAAATCAAGTTTATATTGTTCAATTTATCAGGATGAATCAAATTTATAATGTTACCGTTTCTAATTCTTGATTTGATGAATATTTCCTAAATCTAGCTCTTGGTATTCCAATTTTGGTGCGTAAACCAAATAACACAAGTTCCTAATATAAATCAACGCCATTAAAGAAGGCATAAGACTTTATTTATTATGATTACTTATTTTACTACTTACCTTCTTAACATCTTCCAAGTTCATTTGTTCATACTTTGCAATACTAATACAAATGAATGTTTTTTTTTTATTGACAATTAACTAAGTAATTAAAAGTGATAACAAAAACAATATCAATAATTCACTTGCCCTTCTCCAGTTTCTTCACACTGTGACATCCATTCTTCTGGATACAATCTCTAAAACCACAAAACAAATGAGATAAAAAATCCCACATAACCAAAGAATCAAAATTACATATCTAAAATATCTAACAAACTCTTATTGTTCTAAACCTCATTCCGGTTTCTGAATCTGTTAGTCTTCCATGAGCTCCAGGTCCAATTCCTATTATGTATATATACAAGTAAATTTTAACAAAATAATGCATAATACATTCATGAAAAGCAATTCGTCTCACCTAAATAATCTAAACCGCTCCAATAACCATAATTATGCCTGCTATATTTCTCATTTCTTTGAAAATTTGATACTTCATATTGTTGAAATCCATATCGTTTTGTAATTTCAAGTGTAGTATCATATAAATTTGCCATATGATCAGGTGACGGTTTCTTAAATTTTCCTTTAATAAAATCTTTATATAACCTATAAAATAAATTAAAAAGAATTAAAATACTTAAGTATTATACCAGGCGAATAACAACTTACGGTGTTCCTTTCTTGATTGTAAGTTCATATAAAGAAATATGATTTGATGCTATTTCTAAAGCGGTCTTAAAAAAAAAAATAAATAAATAAATTCAAAGTTGAAAGATTTAACCAAGGAAATTAATTAATTACCATTAATTCAGCTTTCCAATCTTCAACAGTTTGTCCTTCTCTGCCAAATATTAAATCAAAAGTAACATTTTCTCCAAAAATTTTTTGTGATTCTTTTAATGCGTCAATAGCTTCTCTTGACGTATGATCTCTACCTAACCTCTTTAATTCCGAATCATTAAGAGATTGTAATCCAAGTGACAATCTGTTTATTCCTATTGCATGAAATTCTTGTAACTTTTTTGTTTCCGTTGACTATAAAACAAAGGTTAAGATAAGATTAAATCATAAGAAAGCTTCGGTCTATATACTAAAGTAATTCGGAATCGATTGTACCGTTGGATTTCCCTTTGCGTGAATTTTAGGACGTGATTATTAAATGTAAATAGAAATTGCATACAAGGTTATAATAGTAAAATATTTGATATTCGATACCTCCATTGTTATTTCAACATTGGAAGGCAATGTGAATTCTTTAGCAATTGTATTTAAAACGGCTTTAAAAGTAGATGGCTATAAATAATTGAATAAAATTTGTAAGTGAAAAAATAATTAAAGAAAGAAAAGTTAATATCTTAACACATCTTACCAACGCCAGACCTAAAATTACCGATATAGAATGAATGAGCTTTACATTTGTCCTTTTTTTTTTTTTAAAAAAAAAAAAAAATACTGCAAATAAAAAAAAGAACCTTACTTGGTGTACCTCCTAAAATAATTATCGAATCTTGCACAGTAAATTAAAAGGTAACACATTAAAAAAGAATACAAATTATTACCTCCAAAATAAACACTATGAATAATCCTTCCTTTCATATCATATTTTTGTACATAATGATTTATCTCGGAAATTAAGGTTTTTTTCATTCGTTCATGGTCAGGTCTCGGATTTATGTATTTATTAAAGTTACAGTAAGTACATTTACTAATAGAGCAAGTAAAAAGTTAAATATATATAAGAATATAAATGTGAAAGATTAAAATTAAGAGCAAGTTACCTTTTACAATATGGCCAATGAAGGTATATCATTAATGGTTGTTTCAAAAGATCATTTGATTTATTTGATGGATTGGAATTGAAGACTAAAAAAAAAAAGAAATGTTATATGTTCAATCTAGGTGAATGTATATTATTAAAATTATAATCACCTGTTAAAGAATTACCAAAACTTCTTTTTAAAAGGGACCCCCCAAAAAATATTTGGTCCTAGTTTGAATGTAGAAAACATAATTCAGAGATGATCCAAAAAAAAAAATTTTTTGTTAAATTTTAGACTTTTTATGGACGCATTAAAATATTATCGATCAGCGTTTAAAAAATGATCTCTAAATAAAAGTTACTAGTTCTGTTTTTCATCACATTCAGCCACTCTTTAAAAACACTTTTTCAAATATTTTTTTTGTTTAGAATATTTTAAGCATTCAGCAAGGTGGAATCAAGCAGACAAACAATGAATGCTAAGAAACCTATGAAGTAATTCTAAACTAATATTTTATATGCAATACAATTTTTGCTAATAAATGCAAAAAAATAATCTCTTGAATTGTCAAAATCTAGACGGGTTAAAGTTTGATAAGGAAGAGTAACTCTAGTTGAATCGGAATTCGCGTAAATGTTTCATATCTAGAGCATCGATAAATTGACACGAACAAAAAGTAAAAAGATACTTATGATGGCAATAGACTCCTCATTGACACATTCATTTTATTGCCGTGAATATATTCTTCTAAATCAATATCCATATAATCTTCGTCGCTTCGAGCTTCGGCTTAATTATTTCATTATAGATTCATCTTCTATTTTACATTTACTAGTATCAATATTATCTATTGAATTCATCGTTTAACCATTTTAATATAACATTTCGCAAACAATTATGTTTCGTGATGCTAGAACATGCACTTGGAAGAGTTAAACGAAAACTTTCATAATTACTAGCAACTGGTAAGTATATGTGTATGTTTAACATCATGCCTTGTGACCAAACGCTTTTTATATATATGACTATGAGAACTGAAATTGCTACTACTATTTTAAACGGCAATACACTTTACTGGAGCTTCGTCGCCATAAATGTATAAATAAAACGTGCATTTCCATTGACGAAACCCCATATGTTACATCATTCATAGTCTTTATATGATATTAGAGATATCCCTGTAAATATCGCTTCCTAAATATCGCTTTCTGTGAGGTGAATGTTTTTCTTATTAACAACACTTTAAAAATTGAATATCATAATTTCTATATTCGCAATGAAATCTTACTAATAATAAAATTAAAAAAAAAGAGTCGGAGAACAACATTATAGCACTAATAACTTTTAACAAACTCTTTAATAATGGTAACTACCTTTTATAGTCTTAATATACGATCGAACCATCAGAGCTTGTTGAATTAATAATATACTAGAATTAAGCATAATGCGAATGATCACAATGAGATAAAAGATAATGCTATTTACACCATTTTGTGTGGTTTTGTGGTCTATTTATGACATTTTGTGTTTTTACCGTATCGTACGAATTATCGAACCAAAGAAAAACCTAATTTTTTTTGTTTTGACACACTGGCGCGGGTTCTCTTTATGTTGCCAAAAATTTGCATTTATCACAAAATTTTGTGATTTATGTGATACGCCAACACTTTTTTCACCCCATGTGATTTTTTGGCCGGCATTACTGAAATTAATGGAAAAAACGGAGGGTGTGACACGGGGTGACAGAATAAATCATCATCCCTGATCAGATCACGTGTGTTGCGAAATTTAATTCACCAGAAAAAAAAATTTAAGGCCCAAAGCTATTATTGTTTTTCCTATAACTTTTAAGGATATGGAAAAATATGGACTATGTATTCGTTGTTTAAAACCAAAAAGCTTTTATGACTGGTGTCCTAGATGTGATTGTCAGCAATTGATTGATGAATTTTCGAATTGGACTAGCGGAAATAAAGACATTGATAAATTTATTCAAGATACTCGAAGAAATGCCACCTTCTATGCTTCATATTTAGAATGGATCCCTTATGAAAGGTTCGAGAATGTCAAAGATCTTAAAGATCTTGGAGAAGGTAGATTCGGAAGAGTCTATATTGCAAATTGAAAGGATGGAGAGAGAATGGATAATTTTTGGGATGAAGATACTAATAATACCAAAAGGCAACGCAGTAATCCCATTCCAGTTGTAATAAAAGTTGTAAAAGGTTTTGATTCTGAAACTTTTATAAATGAGGTAAATATACAAAATTAATACTAATTTTAAGATAATTATTGAAGCATAGCGGGCTTTCTGTTTTATCACAATGTCGATCATTTGCCGATCATTTGTGATTTTTTTAAGAAAAATAAATTTTTAATAGTAACGTAACAAATTAATAACAAAACTAAAAATAGAAATTAAAATTAGACTCATGATTTTGTACAACTTTGAATTTATGTAATGATTGACATAAGACTATACATTTTTATTGGCTAGATTAAGAAATGTTTC